TCGTTTATGTTTCACTGATGATCCGTCACAGCTTCAGATGACAGGGCAAGAAAGGAAAGAAGAGGGGAGGATGTGTGAGAAAGGAGGGGATGGAGTCAGAGATGAAATGAGGCCATGCGCAGTGCTCAGTCCCACTGGCATGTCTCCGCTAGCTGACAGTCAGCTAAGCTCTTATACACTTCTCTGGTTCATCCTGTCTGTTATTTTTGGTCTTTTTTAATAACCTCCTCAATGGCCTCCTGCTGGGTCTGGCTTGGCGGAGTTGATACTCTTTCACCTGCAGTGTCACAGGTTTGAATGCAGCTCATGCTGAGCCTCTCCTCTTTCTGCCAGTGTTCAAGTGACATCCTTTGTTTCTAGGCCAGTCCTGAAATATTCCAAAGCTGAAATATAGCGGTCGGGATGGTGACACAGAATGTAGATGCAGCCATATCTCACTGGATAAATGAAACCACTGATCTGCTGCAGGCAATGAAGAGTCAGATGTCAACTTTACAATGGCGCAAGAGGAACATTTATGGTGTCACTGAGGTGGTAAGGATACATCCTCTGGGAACCATGAATGTCTCTTTAAAAAATGTGCCATAACATTAAGTAGATTTTGACATAATCAATGAAACCACATTTTTATGTAGTGCTAGAAAGGATGAACAGGGCCCCAAACTGTTTCAATGGAAGTGAAGAAATATGACATTAGCATGGTTATCTAAAGGAGATCAAGTAGATTAGACAGTATGTGATTTGGTTGCCTGCTTATGGCGATAGAGACAAAAAAAATACAGAGCAAATCATACAATATGGCAGATGTTGAGATGTTTCAACCGATAAATGAGAACTGCTGGTGGAGCTAGAAAAAAAACGGGATGATTGTGAATCAGAAGGCTCCATCCTCTAGGGACCAAGAATCTCTGCACAAAATAGTCAATCCAGTAGTTGCTTTCAGAGATGCATTGAACTCTGGAGAACCTGCAGACATTTTCCACTGGGGCTGTATGTGTGAATGCAACGTATTAGTGTGAGCCTTTGTTTTTCTCTGGAGTTTCTGTGCCCAACCCTTGAGTAAAGAGTCCGGGGGAGCAGATGTGAGAACATAACAGGAAATCCTCCACAGGATTCACAGCGGGTTAATGTGTTAATGACAGACACAAACATGAAACAAACAAAAAGCAAACAAATATTTTAGGATTAAAAAGTGGAGCCATAATGAGAGCCGATGGCGGTGTTGATGTTCTGTAAACAAAAACATGTGATCTCCGCAGCTTATGTAATAAGTTTCGTCTATACCCTGCTCACCTGAACGCTCCAGAGATTTGTGTGTTCTGTGCACGTGCCTGAAAGTCCAAGTCCCAGTTCTCCGAACATCCCCACAATCATGTCTGAAAACAGCTTCACTCTGAACCATGTAGTGACCAACTGACATCACCGTCCCCAGATCCTTGCTGCTAGCATGACAAGTGACTAGGCTGATGCACTACAGGAGAGTTAACTTACTTCTTATGGCAGAATATTCCCTCTCAGGGGATCTGGTTCAGTCATGTTCTGAATGCTTGGCGCTGCGCCTAATGAGCATGCCTAGTTACTTCAACATGGAAGTATCCATTGTGTTACTGGGGCCCAGATGGTGGAGACTGTCCAACACTTAGGGTACCTAAGGTGACCCTACACCAGCTGAATGAAGAAGGACCTCATTGTATGTCTACACTGTGTAGACCGGGTTTTCAGTCACATCATGCAACCATTTATTTTACGCTTTGGTCCTAGATCAAGTCAAGTCACGCTACATTGATGCTGGCATAATGGCTCATATATAACATAAAACGGGATAAAAACTGTAACAACACATTTTGTCCAGCCCCTTCTTCTGTGCATAAAGCTGGCTTGATTACAGTAACAGTGATGACTCCCTATGGCTAAGTGTTGCTGCTCCCTGGATATTGATTAGATATCAGCTTCGATCAATGGAGATCGTAAAAGCCAGTCTCCAAATACCAACAAACACACAGCGGCTCAATATGAAGTCACCTTGAACATAAATCAGATATCTGAGCAAGCCGCAGTAGAACTGCAAACGGCTGTACCTTAGAAATGTGTGTAATGACTATAGCACAACTTTGTTCATTTTGCAGCGGCGGCCCGGGTACCCTGTACTTTACTGTATTACCCTGCCGCATGTCCTCGCCCCCCTGCTGACTTCTGCTCACTTTACACGTTAACAGCAAACATCAACGCTACTATGGAAGTTTACATTGTGTTTGTTTGATTCGCTGTTGAGTTTGACACGTATTTAAACACGTTGAAAAAACTCTAATGTTTTGTGCACATGCTGTTCATCTGCCACACACATTAATGGTTCATTAATCACAATTGAGGTGAGAGTTTGAAGTAATCGTGATATTGACGTAGCCCATTGAAATGTCACAGAAAAGTTCATATGCTTGGCTATAGATTTTTTTTCCATCATCTACATTATTTTTCAACAGTTGAGTTTTGACCAGGACTCTTTTATGCCCTGTCCACATTTATGCAAATATTTATCGAAACAAACTTTCTCTCTGCCTTTGGACCTTTCGTCCACACACAAACTGTGTTATAAGTATGAAACGACAACAATGGCGGCAAAATACCTGTTTCTCTACCTTTGTTTTGCACTGCTAAGAGTTATTTTCTGCGATTTTTTTTTCAAAGGGTGGGGGAAACTTTGTAAAGTACTTTAGACAGGGCATTAATTACGTCATCTCATTGGTTCCTCTTCTTCTGAATTTGTTTAATAGTACCCGACAGGAGACTTCGCTCTACCAGTTGTTTTACTCAACCCACCAACTCCCATATTTGCAGTGGTAGTACTGCATTTATTTATTTTGTAAGCATTTATTTATTTATTTTGCTGTGTTTCTCAAATTTCAGTCAACTTTGCAATACAATTGAATAGAAACCTAGCTGATGACAGTAGTTCTGATTCGAGACATCTAGACACACTGTCTATGTAGCCATTTTTATTGACTTCTTGTCCTGCTCAGGAAAGAATCTAATCTTTATAATCCTTGATGTTCTTAGTTGATGTCCTTGAGGTGAACTTCTTACTTAATGCGAGAAGCTTTAAACCATGACTATGAATCAGATAAAATAATCTTTATCGCCACATTTGCTGTGGATATATTCCTCAACAAAATAGTTTATTTGTCCTCTGGTCCACATCTTCACTAGCTGTATTTGAGACGGTATGCAGATTGTTGTGACATACCATCATAGAGCAACTAATGACCCTGACCTTTGTCAGTTAGCAGAAGAGTGTAAATGAAAGTTTATATCATTGGTGGAAAGTTATTCTTGTCCGTGAATGTGAGGTGTCGTGACACATCATTATACACATTCCACAATACCTATTATTATCCCATCACTTTTCAGAAATGACCCTCAGAATTTGAGCTGTAAGTGTGCAGTCACACACACACTGTCAGCCCCATTAAATAGTAACCCTGTTTGCTAGAGGTGATTGTAGAAGACACATCAGAAGAGCATATTCATGTCTACATGCATTATCCAATGTGTTCTATGCTATTTTCACATTTTAATACTATTCTGGCAATTATGCAGGCCAAGGGGCTAAAAGCAAACATGCTAGTAAATAATTGCCTTCTTACATTTTTAGGCGACATGAAGCGATATTAATTTTTTGCCTGTCTTTAAGTTGTGTTTTAGTAATTTGTATTGCACAAGCTAGGTGCAAGCTTTTTCTTTCTGCTGTTAGGTACTCGGCATGCAGCCAGGTGTTAAGCTGAGATTGTTTGTTGCTTGAAACATTGATAAGTGCAGAAAATCGTCTTACAATGAGCTAAATGGGGGTAAAAGTCAGAAAGCTTTAGCATCTCCCTTCAAATGATAGTCTTTTACACCACCATATTGCATGTATGTAGGTTTTTTTAAACAAGGGTGTTCTAAAACTTTTTAAAAACGTGGGCAAAACCCTTTTCCCACTTCTTTAAAAAAATAAAAAATGTTAGAAAACAGTTCGAAAGCCATCTGGAGGCCAGTGACTCTTCTTAATGGTGCCTGAAAAATGTTCGAACGCTGCTTGAACAGGGATGGATGGAATTTGGGGCTGAGACGGCGAATGCAGATCCCTTTATTGCACCATGACGCACATCATAGCATTGCACCAGAGAAGGAGTGAAGATGAGCAAGTCCATGGAGATTTCAAATTTATATTAGCTGATAATTACCTGTGACTTCTAGAGTCATTTGACACATGAATGAATGCTGATTGTACCTTTCACACTGAAGACAAAACCAGATGTTATTGGATGTTAGTGGGTTTTTTGTCCAGTGGGAAAAGAGGCTTAATTCCAAGTTAATTACTGTATACTTTCAAAAGCTAGTATTCGGATGACTCATGTACATTTAAAAGTTAAGGTTCTTTGTAACTTCTTCTCTAGAACAGACACTTTGAGAGCAGTGTTTTAACCAAAGTCTTAAAGGACTCAAGGTTTGACGATACTAGAATTTATCCTGAATTTTAAAAAAATGCTGCACATGATTATCTTAATTATCCTCTTGAATAAATAATTTCAGAGCTGCGTCCAACTGTCTCATATAATGCTCTCCGCTGATATTACTGATGGTACTTCTCACATAGTATGCTGAGCCATATTAAAAATATGTATGATTATATTAGTGCAATTTGAATCTGTAAAATGCTTTGGAACTGGTACTGAAAACAGAGTCAAGAGTTTTAAACTATACCATACACCATGAAGAAATAACCAGGGGATGAGTTTTCTGTCAAACAAGTTTTAAACATATTGAAAATATTTTGTGTGGACAGGAAGGACTGGGACACGCCCAGTGACAGACTACCAGGAGGAGGTGTCATTCTCTGTGAGCCGCACATGCTTCTATTTATACCAGATAGCTGCAATAACTCAGGGAGGTAGGAGAGAGAGAGAGAGAGAGAGACATGGGGAGTCATATGACCTGGCGCTCATTCCAGAGATAGTGACGGACAGAGCACTCACTCTGTGCTCCCATCTAATATTACGCCAGAGCTGCAGAGCGTGCGGAGGATGTGTCGCAACGCCATCAGAGGACTCTGAAAAGATTTGTTTTGGATATTGACTAAAAGTATTATCACTAAAGGACATAATAATCGATCCCATCTGATCACAGCTGAGTGACAATGCCGGAGGAAAAAGGTAATAATGACCATTAATAACTTTTGTAGTGTGGTGTGTTCACCTGCCAGAGAGCGTAGAGCTGGTGATTTGTTTGTATTGACTGTTAACCATTGAACGCCTGTCAGTGTCTAATGTGTGAGCAGACGTTAGTTAAGCTTTACAGACAGTAAGTAATAATAATGAATCAAACTTATTCTAAAACTTAGAAATATGAAAATCATTGAAAAGCTGTAAAGGTGATATGAGTGTGTTGTTTCTGTTCAAGCAGTACTTTACCTCCAGCTTAACAGGCCTCCTATTATGTAACCTCACTCAGAAGCATGTAGTACTTTCTGTTTGAATATTTCTGTGTGAGTGTGAATGACAACAACAAGCCTGGCTGAATGCTTATGCTGCAGGTTGAAATGCAGCCTGCCTGCAACAAGCCTGGCAGCAACACTGTTGTCTTGGTCCCCTGCCTGAATCCAACACTGGGAGTGCAGCCATTTGGTCGGCTTACAAATGAGAAGGGGGCCGGTTATAAAGAAGAAATCATGATGTCCTTAGAGCGATTAACAGATAGTCCTCTCAATTACAGCCTGATATTATTGTTTCCTTTTTTAAGACTTAATTATTTCCCTTTTTTCTGCCGCGATCATTTTGCAGTAGTAGTGAAAACGATCTTGTTGGGAGTAAAGGGCGCAGTATATGGTTGTGTATTGTGTGTATTTGCTCTAAAGGGATGGGATTTAAAAAGAAGAAATACCGGTATCCAATTTGAATAATATTCCTGACTGTACTACAAGTAAATAAAAGTTTGCTTCTGAAATAAAACATTAGAATGAGCAGCAAAATGCACCTGTCAAAGGTAAAGGTTCTCATGAAGTAAAATGGCTCCTTTCAAAGTGTTCAGTACTTTCATCGTATTGGAATTTTATTGAAAAGTGAAATGGTGGCGAACATAATTACTTCTAAACATAAGAAAGAATCAATGAAAATAACATTGAAATTTGTATTAAAAAATCAGTTTGTCCACACAGACAGCGGTTGTATTTCAGAAAATGAAATATAATCAACATTTTATTAATATTGCTTTCAGCAGCCTTTCACACAGTTTTCTCTTTTCCCTGGACCATCGATGGGGACATGGTCGTACGTTATCAGTTTGAGGGACTAAGGCTACTTAAAGGGATGCGAGGGTTTAAGAAAAATATCATCAGCGTTGAACACTGGTGAATATCATAAAAATGGAGAAATCAAAAGTTACGTTGATGTAACAATACATGCTGCCAGGCGATAAGCTTTTTATGGGAGCTAGTTCAGGGAATGCAAAGAACAATATTTTCTAATAGCGCTATAGACCAGTGAAAAACACAATTACATTTAGCTTTGACTTATGGAAGCTAGTGGATATAGGGTCAGGGCTTTGGTCCTCTTTCTAACTTGTCAAGGTGAGATTTGACAACTGAGATTAGGTGGCAGTATGTTTATGTATGGGTACAAAACGTTTTGGTCAAAATATTACTGTCACGTAACTAATTATGGCTGTAGATCTAGTAAATTAAACAGTAGACTATCTTTATATAGAAAGGGAGAGGAGTACAAGTACTGGAGAACAAAGCTTTCTAATTAAGTAAATATGCTTCCCACCACTGACCCCTGCACAGTTGGCTGTAAAAAGAAGCCCCACTGTTTCTCCCTGTAAACACGCCACAAAATATTTCCTCTTCTCTCACAGTGTCTTGTCCCCAACAGCCTTGTTAAAGCTGATCCAGTGTTAACCCCTTGTTTGTTTGCTGTTACTGTTAGAGCAGGAGGCACGTGTGACGAAACCTGTACAGTTTGGTTGGAAGGAAGGGACACACCCACACAGAAACACATAGGCCATGTGCTTATACACACAAAGCTTTACATGTTGTACATGTACACATGGACGCTTACACGCTTGAAGTTATGATTAGACATTGAGTAAATAGCCAAGTGCATACAGTCATGCACACACGCACACACGTGTACTCACACGCAGGCACTCGCGCCACTCTAGGCTACAGGCTAGGCTCTCAGTCCTAGCCAAGGACAGTGTATCTTGGGTGTGTGATGTAATGCATGGCTGCTTGTCAGCAGTCACAGCGACGCCTGACATTATTTCCGACCTGCCAGTAAACAAACCATCTGTGTCAGTTTCCTCTGCTGACATTTCGTGTTTCTTGGAATCAATCTCATCGTTTTTTATAGTACGACATTTATTATTTAGTCATGGTTCTTAAGTCTGATTTAAGTCTGGTTAAAGGATGAAGCTGGCGTTATTATATATCTCAGTCAACAAATCTCTCAAATCTTTAAAAATGTGTCACATCCATGTTCTTAAGGCTCAAAATATTCCAAAACTGGTTTAATGTTACTCCTAAATGAGGAATTTGCTATTTTCAGCAGTGGATTAATCCACACTCAGTATGTAGGATGGTTTGTGTGTGTGTATTCATGGTAATGAATGAACATGTGCCCATGACCTTCTATGTAAAGTGCCTTTAGATAATGTATATTATAATTTGGCACTATAGGAATCAAATTGAATTGAATGTGCCCAAGTTCAACAGTGTTTTGGATAACACTGAAACTATATGAGCACATTGGAAAAAGATATATATATATATATATATATATATATATATATATATATATATATATATCGGGCTTTGAATACACAGGTACTACTGGCTTCTTTAATGAATCTGATGACAATTAGAAAACTTTGGAATTGGAATTGTAATGCTTATTCTTTAAAGCTGCGACAGAGTCTGTAGTTTTGTTAGGAGGTAAACTGATGTTTTACAACATAATGTATAGTGTTTTCTTTCCCTCCTAACATTGGCAATATTTTGGCTTGAGTCTTATTTCTAAAATCAATTCCAAAATATTTTAGCGAGACATTTTAATATCACATGATTTGTTCACTGCTCACACAGATATTAGGACATCGTGAGCACAATATTTAATACAAATAACATAGATCAGATACTGTTACAAAATACTGTTAATTGTTTATTCACAACTATTCTCACAAGGTAGTTGCTAACGTTCTCTACTGTTTGGTGCTGGGTTGGTACTAGTATATAGTAGGTATATGAAAAATACAAGTGATTAAAATAGCAATGAGCATAAAGAAGCGAAAATCATGTGTATAGCTGAGACGAACTGCAGATGTGGTAATAATACTCTGTGGGTTCATTGCTACAATTGACTCATTTGATTCAGTGTAAATGTAAAATGTTTTTAGTCCAGTTTTGAAGTATTAAATCACTGAATAAATAAATAATACACTTTTAGCATTAACTTGCTACTATTTCTCAAGTAGATGTAAATATACCCAGAAGTCAGAGTGTCAATCTGCTTACTTCATGACTGCATCATGTATCTTTGTGTTATTCAAGGTAGAGTTCTGTCCTGTGGATGTTGATAATTGCCCGTGTGTTTGAGTCCAACTGCAGTTGCACTGGCCTTTCTCCCTTAGGTGCTAAACCCGCTTGGCATATGCCAGTGTTTTTGCACCAGCTCTGCTCAAACAGCTGACACAATGCTTTCTACAGAGAGCCTCTATTCATGAGTCATGCTGCTTCCTTTCGGGTTGAAATAAATGGCCTGCAAACACACGCAGATCCAATCCCTCGCTGTCTTTAAGCTCTTTGATTCACTCTCAAGTTTCACACCGATCATCTTCCTTGCTGAACAGTCAGAATTATCAAAGCATCCTTCACGCATACATTTGCTGTATATGCAGACACACACAACATGTTGAGCTGTGCTGTGATTTTCTGCTGCATCACTGTGGGTGCTCCAGTCATCTGATCCCTGCTATTATGCCGCACTTTCACCATCACTGACAAATGAGGCAAGCATCATATCACCTTTCTCTCTTTTTGTCTCTCATCTGAGATGTTTTGCCGTCTCATTGTCTGAGTCCAAAAATGGCTCCAGTCCCCAGGCTCATGACTGTGTTACCTCTTTTTCCTCTTGTCCCTGTTTCTATGCCTCTCTCTCTCTCTTGAAAGTGAAAGCTAAATTTATGTATGAAACCAAATCACAACATAAATTATCTCAAAGCACCTTACAAAAGTATAAAGAGAGAAAAAAATCCTTTTAACTGTAAAAAAAAAAAACCTCTCGAGTCCGTGTGTGTGGCCGTCTGCCTCTACCGATTCAGGTGAGAGGAGCAAAATGTGATGAAATAGAAGAAGGGAATGGAAATCCTGAAATGTTGTGATAATTTATTCATTATAAATTTCATTTTTAAGACACAAACAACCCTGTAGCAAGATTCTTCAATTTGAACATATGTAAAATGTCCCTATCGTTTTACAGGATCTGTGAATTGCAGGTACTGTACAGTTCTTGGAGAGGAGGTAATTGACAGGACACAAACTCCTTGTAGGTTATTAGACAGTGCAAGAAATCGATTTAAAACCATCACCACGAGCTGGTTTAAATTAAGTTAATATTTGAAAAATGTCATTGATAGATTAACCAATAATAAAAAGGTGGTTTGCAGATGCTGTCCTATTTGAATACTGTCTATTTGCTATCACAGTACCATTACTTATACTATAAGTAGTACTTGTAACCTCACTGCAGAGGTTTACTCACATATTCATCCCATAGGTGTTGAATGCAGCTGAGGTCAGGGCTCTGAAGTTCTTCCTTTATTAACTAGGCTTTGAGCATGGATATGTGACCATGCTCATACAGAAACGAGCGTTCTTCAAGTGTTGACAACTACACAGTATCAGGACACTTTATGTGCATGCATGTGGTTAATTAGTGCAGGATCCCATCGGAGGTTGAACATAGCAAAGAGGTATAATTTTACACAGTTTGAACTTTATGGAGTTTTTGTCTGGAGGAGGCAACTACATTCCAGTACAGGCAGTTGCAGTAACACGTGGGATCATATCTGTTGGTTGTGATTGTCGTCCACTCGGAAGAAATATTTACTGGCTCATCTGTCACAGGAATGGCAAAACTCGTATATTATTTTCACACAA